GCCTTTAGTTTTATAGTCAACATTTCATTTTTTATTGACAATTTTCAGTTACTTTAAAAATGATTATTTCCCCCTATACATCCAAAAACTGTTCATGTTGTATAATGCAATAATTGTTCCACATTTAATCTAATGTGTTGATGTTTGGGGAAACAATTGTAACAATTGATGTTTGTAAAACAATTACAAATCCTGTTTTTATTTTACATAAAAGAGCTATAAGAATTATTACCGGAAAACATTAGTCACCCATCAAATTAATTTTCCATCAGTTGAAGTTACTGAAATTCTATGATTTGGTTGATTATAGTATTTTGTCAGTTATTTATAGGGTTCATAAAAACACATAACCTTCAAACATCCAATTACATTTTGTTAAAAGGGAGAGTTGTTATAATCTGAAGGGGATAAAAATGTTTGTCAAACCTAAAGTTGGAACCAGTTTGAGTCAACGGAGTATTTCAGTCCAGGGAATTAAATTATGGAATAATCTGGAAGTTGACATTTAAAAATGCCAGATCAGTGTGTGTATTTAAGAAAATGAAGGTAAATTTGTCAGAGAAATATGTATGGGTATAATGTACAATTTGTTGCTCAAGAAGGAATTAAACCTTTATTTTTCTTTTCTTTTTCATTTTTGTATGTTTTTGTTTTTATAAATTGAAGATTATTTTAATTGAAATTATTTCTCTGAGAAAAAGGGCCAGAAATCATAGGATTTTTTTTCCTTCTGCTACCTTTCATTTATGATTTGTATTTCTTTAGCATAATGAATATTGTTACTATGCATTTGTTTATTTGACCTGATACCAAGGTTTATTAACCTAAAAAGGGCACAGGCCTCTGCTACTGTAATTTTGTGGGTCAAAAGCTGAAAAATTTTGGAACGACTGTTTTAGACCACCAGATGCTCCAGATCTAGTAGCTGTTAATGATACTGTGTTTTCAGGAATAACAGCATCGGTTCACAAAACAATGTATTGCCATGTACCAATGGCCACAAGATTGTTATTGAGTGACTGACTGAGAAACAGAATGTAACAGCWGCTGGGAGGAATGATCTGTGGTAACAGACCTTTGTGCATTGAAGATGCAGCAGTCTGTCACTGAAGGAGCTCTGCAGCTAAGCCACAGTTCCATGCATTGGGAGACGTTCTCTGTCATTGCTGTTATTTTAGTCAGAGTACTGCTGTCTCCCACCACCTGCACTGTGTCGAGGGGGCATCCCAGCACAGAGCTGGCCTTCCTGATTAGCTTATTAAGCCGCTTCTT